ATCTTGTTTCATCATCTCTTAATTCAAAGAAGTATCCATAGCTATGTTGCTGCGCTTAAACCATAGTCTGGATATGTTAGACCAGCTATTTCCAACTGTTGGAATTTGCCCTTGTGCAACTTGTATAACACAGAGATGCATAAAATACTCCCAATATAACTGATTATAATGAACCATCTTTTCCTGGGTTTAATAATTTCTCTGTAGTTTCTTTAGTTCCCCCTCCCCTCCCTTTAGGTTCTCCTTTGGAAGGAGGAGTGGCATCCACTTCCGTAATAGCTTGCCTCCGGAAACCCTGTGAGCCTGGAGAGAGGATGAAAGGCACCCAAGCGTCGAGGACTCTCCTTCATAGGGTTGCTATGAGCTGTCTGCGACTTGACGGCACTTAACAACAACAACAAGATTCTCCTTAATGACTCATTACTTAAGCATAAATGCTCTTTCTCTTTCAGAATATGAGAGTGATCCTTTAGAATATCATCATGGTAGTACAATTAGGATAAGTTGCTGTTAAGTGCTATCTCCTTGGTTCTGATGCATAGCAAGCCCATGAACATCAAAATGAAATGTTTCCCAATCCTGTGTCATCCTCGCTGTTGCTGTGACTGAGCCTGTTGTTGCAGTCACTGTGTCAGGACATGTTGCTGAGAGGATTGCTTTTTCCTCTCTGACCCTACGCATGCGGGTCTTCTCCAGAAGATTCTCCCTTCTGATAACGTATCCAAACTCAGTGACCAATGTCTTGCCATCCTCACTTCTAAGGGACATTCTGACTGTCCTTATTCCAAGACAGATGTGTTCCTTCTTCTGACAATCTATGGTATGTTTGGTCTTCTTCCTCACCATCATAATTCAAGTGCATCAACTCTTGTTTGGTCTTCTTTATGTATTGTTCAGCTTTCCCATTCATATGAAGCAACTGGAAATATCATGGCTTACTTCAGTCATACTTTAGCTGTCACAGTGATACTTTTACTCTTTAGCACTTTAAAAGAAGTCTCTTAAACAACAGATGTGCCTGATGTAATATGACATTTGATTATTTCTTTGACTGTTGCTTCCATATGAATTGAAGCTTAACATCAAGAAAACAAAAATTCTCACCACATTATTGTGATAGATGGTGAAGAGATTGAAGTTATTAACAGCTTTCGTTTGTTTGGCTCCACAATCAACACTCTTGGCACTAGCAGCCAGGAAATGAAAAGATGTATTGCACTGAGAAAGTCTGCTGTCAGAGACCCCTCCAAAGTACTGAAGAGCAACGATGTCAGTCTGGAGAATAAGGTGCACCTAATACAGGCCATGGTCTTTGTAATTACTTGCTATGCATCAGAGAGCTGGGATGATAGAAGGAGAATTGATGCCTTTGAGCTGTGGTGTTGGAGAAGAGTATTAAGTATACCATGGACTGCTAAAAGAATGAACAGGTTCATCCTGAAGAGGGTTAAACCAGGCTGTTCTTTGGAGGCCAGAATTCTGAAGCTTCGTCTGACATACTTTGGACATGTTGCAAGGAAGGACCAGTCCTTGGAGAGAGACATCATGCTTGGGAGGGTGGAGGGATGGCGCAGGAGAGGAAGACCCTCGATGAGATGGATTGATTAAATGACTGGGGTAGTGGGAGTAGGTGTGTCAAAGACATTAAGATTGGCACAGGATAAAGGAGGGTTTAGGGCTGTTGTACATAGGGTCGCTATGAGTTGCACGTGACTCGACGGCACACAACAACAACAATAACAACAACATTGCTTCCATGGTTATTGATGGTAGATCCAAGTAAAATTAGATCATTGACAACTTCAAACTTCTATTTATCCTGATATTGCTTATTAGTCCAGTCGGGGACTTTTATGTCCTTTACGTTGAGGTATAACGCATATTGAAAGCTGTAGTCTTTTCTTGGCATCAGTATGTGCTTCAAGTTTTTGTTTTCCACAAGCTAGAGTGCCTGCACATTGCAGTTTGTTAATCAATCCTTCTTCAACCCTGGAATACATTTACTAGTTTATAGGAATGCTATTCATCTGAGGAAGAGATGGGTCATCCGACAACCTCTGTGTTTCCTACCATATTATCAGTGTTTTTTGTGCAACCCCATTCCATTTGCTGTCTGTACAATCAATTCTTTACCACCCGAGCTGCTTCTTGAATCTTGGAAAATCTTTGTTGAGAGTTCAGCTCCTTCATATCCATGCTGCAGAAAATCAATGGTTAATGCAGGAGGTGGGGGTAGAAGAGTGAGGAGAAGGGAAAAGGCGCTCCTGTCTCTCCCTTTTCTCTTGGACTAAGTGAACATCCTGGATTGGGCTTCCTTTGTGGCCTGAATTGTTGATTTTATTACAGTTCCTAACCCATGCTCCCTCTCCATCTGCCTTTCCCTGTAATTCTGTATTCCCTGGTGGCTGAATTGCAGTAGTCCAGCTAGAGACATGCAGATGGTTCACTCAGGCTCAAGAGGCCTTTTCATATTTGCCCTTTCCCTTCTAAGCCCCCCTTGGGCTGAATGAGACCTTCCTTCCTGATCCTATGCTGGTTGGTGTCTGCCGTGTGTACTTGTGCCTTTCACAGACCTTTGCTTTGCACTAAATGACAGCATTAGTCTTTCTCTTGCTCACTCTCACTCTTCTCTCTTCCACCCACAAACCAGTTATTTATTGTTTCCATTGAACTTCCTTCAAGCAGCACAAAATGAAGAGCCTATCATTTGTGTCAAATTGAGTGCTTTCTGCGTTACTTTGCACACACACCCCCCTTTTCCCAGCTCTGGTCTGTGCAGCTTCATGAATACACAATTCCATGCACTTGGCTGATTTTAGACCCTTTTAACCTAGATAAAATAAACGAGAGAGAGAGAAAAAAGGAGCCACTTGAGATTTGATGCAGTTAACCCTTCCTACCAACTTCTTTTCCAGTTTTGTTTTTCCTTTTTTTTCATTCCTGAGAAACCATTTTTCTTCTGCAGAATCACCATGCCAGCTCAGCTACAGCATCTCCTTCCCCAGATCATCCACAAGACCTTCTCTCCTCTACTACGTGGTTGTTGTTGTTAAGTGCTGTCGAGTCACTTGCGACTCATAGCGACCCTATGTACAACAGCTCTGAAGCCTGCCCTGTCCTGCGCCAATCTCACTGACTCCGACACACCTATTCCCATTGCCCCAATTTCTGTTTTAATCTATTTCATCCGGGGTCTTCCTATCCTGTGCTATCCCTCCACCCTTCCGAGCATAATGTCCTGCTCCAAGGACTGGTCCCTCCTGACCACATGCACAAAGTATGTGAGACAGAGCTCAAAATCCTAGCCTTAAAGGAGAAACTTGGTTTCACTCTCTCCAAGACAGGCCTATTTGTTGGTAGAACCCATCAAAACAAAGTTGCTTAGTGTAAGGACCAACTTATTAAAGAGCTTCTAGGTGCTTGGAATGTTTTACTCATGCAAAGTCTATATACGTGTTAGAAACTGGACGTCTCCAGTTGTTGTTGTTATGTAACGTCGAGTCACCTGTGACTCATAATGACACTGTGCACAATACTTCTGAGCCCTGCCCTGTCCTGAGCCAATCTCACTGCCTCTGATACATCTATCCCTTTACCCAGTTCCTGTGTCAATTCATCTCCTCCAGGGTCTTTCTCTCTTGCATTGTCCCTCCACTCTTCCAAGCGTGATGTCTTTCTTCAAGGACTGGTTCATCCTGTCAACATGCCCAGAGTACGTCAGATGGAGCTTCAAAATCTTTGCCTCCAAGGAGAAACTTAATTTCATCCTCTCCAGGACAGATTTGTTTGTTCTCTTGGCAGTCTATGGTATGTTCAATGCTCTTCTCGAGCACCACAACTCAAAGACATAGGTTCTTCTTCTGTCACCCTTAGTCATTGTCCAGCTTTCCGATGTACATAGCAAGAAATTGTGAAGACCATGGCTGGATCAGGCATGCCTTAGTTGCTATACTGTCATCGTTGCTCTTCAGAATTGTTGTTGTTGTTGTTATGTGCCGTCGAGTCGTTTCTAACTCATAGCGACCCTATGCACAACAGCCCTAAACCCTGCTCTATCCTGAGCCAACCGCACCGCCTCTGACACACCCATCCCAATTACCCCAGTCACCGAATCAATCCATCTCATAGAGGGTCTTCCCCTCCTGCGCTGTCCCTCCACCCTCCCAAGCATGATGTCCCTCTCCAAGGACCCGTCCCTCCTGGCAACATGTCCAAAGTATGTCAGATGAAGCCCCAGAATCCTTGCCTCCAAGGAGCAGCTTGGTTTAATCCTCTCCAAGATGAATCTGTTTGTTTTCCTGGCAGTCCATGGTGCATTCAGTACCCTTCTCCAGCACCACAGCTCAAAAGCATCCACTCTCCTTCTGTCCTCCCTAGTCATTGTCCAACTCTCTGATGCATAACAAGCGATTGCAAATACCATGGCCTGTATCAGGCGCACCTTAGTCTCCAGAGAGACACTGTTGCTCCTGAGTACCTTTGAGAGGTCCCTAACAGCAGACTTTCCCATCGCGATACGCTTTTTGATTTCCTGACTGCTGGTGCCAAGAGTGTTGACTGTGGAGCTGAGCAAAGTGCTGTCATGGATATCTCCAGTATCTACCATATAAACCATTAGAATTGCTTCTGATTTGTACTGACTTTTCACTGGGTTTCTGAAGATATCAGTCTTTATAGGAAATGACTTCTCATCTTTATCTCAAAAAGCAGCTGGTAGATTTGAATAGCTGACCTTTAGGTTAACAACCTACTATATACTACATCACTAGAACTCCTATTATCTATAGAGAGAATAATCAATCAGGCTATTTTAAAAATTCCTTTGTAAGAAGTTTGTGTATGGTTGTCTTAGGGATACATTGGGAAATTATTCAAACTTCCTCTTATTATTTTGATATGATTGCCTCTATCAGTATTTCCATGGTGAAAGTCCAGCTCTGTTTTTCCAAAACCCCTTGGCTTGACACATATTTGGCTTTGATCTCTTTGTTGGCTCCTAGGAAAGGACATGGCAGCTGTGCAGCGGACCCTGATGGCTCTAGGGAGTGTTGCAGTCACGAAGGATGATGGGTGCTATCGGGGAGAGCCTTCCTGGTTTCACAGGTAGGAAAGCTCAGAGTCTTAGAACACAAAACAATTGCAACCAGAAGATGTTGAAGCCTTTATGCCAAACTCCTTGGAGCAAAATTGTTCCTTCCTTCCTTCCTCTCTCTCTCTCTCTCTATCTCTCTCCAGAACACTGTGGCAATAAGCTTTAGGCTATAACTGAGCCATTAGTCTCCATAAAACATTTAGTACAGCATCCCACTCTGAACAGAAATGTTTCACCCTTAACCTACCAGGTACCCAGAACCTTCAGCTTAGACAGAGTTTTATGTCTCCTGAGATTAAGATGGACTGGATAGCCTCATCAGAGGTGACTTGATATCTAAACTCAGTTTTATTATGACCTTCACTTTCTTGAATGTAAAAAAATAATTTTTTTTTTACTCTAAATAAAGTGTAAATAGTAAAGTGAACTAGGTGCCTGGTGGGTTACACAGTCAATCGTAGCTTGAATCCACCAGCTACGGAGAAAGATGAATAATTTCCTCCTGTGTAATTTATAGCCTTTAAAAACCCACTGGAGGGTCAGCTATGAATCAGTTCTAACTCAATGGCAATGAATTTGAGTCTTTAAATATATGTCCTAATTGTCCTAGTTAATGCCTATTATCCAAAAATATTTTTAATAGTACCTCTTGGTTTAGCTAATAAATAAGAGGATTTTGAAAAGAACTTTCCCCAGTTAATATTTGTGCCTATGGAAGAAGAGCTTAAAACCAAACCCAGTAGCTTAATGATAAACAAAGAAAAAAGTAATAATTTCTCTGAACCTCATATGTTCTCCTTACAGTTATGAAATAAGCTTGTGTTATTTTAAAGAACCCTGCTCTGAAAATAGGGAGCTAACGAGTGGTCGAACGTGTAAGGACTTGTGTTTCTAATCCAAAGGCAGATGGTTAAAATACACTAGCTGCTCCATAGGAGAAATATGGGCAAACTTCTCTTGTGGGATTTATAACCTCTGAAAACCAACTAGAGGGTCAGCTGTGAGTCACTTCTGACCCCATAGCAATGAGTAAGTGAGTGAGCTCTGAAAGTCATGATTTTTACAGAAAAGTTTACTCACCCTGCATGTAGAGTGATACATCTATCTAGGTTAACTTCGAGCTTCTTCAGCGCTAAAACATTGCTTCTTTCTATGGCACGGTTGTTGTTAGGTACTATGGAGATGTAACTGACTCATAGCTGACCTATCAGTTTTTCATAGGCTGCAAATCACACAGGAGTTGATTGTCCATCTTTCTCCTATGAAGTATCTGGTGGATTTAAGCCATCTACCTTTGAGGTACACAACTCCATGCTGCCAGGCATACTGCAGACTAATCTCTGGTCCTATATAAAGAATGGGATTCATGAGAAAGAAACTCCCTTTTCCTTTCCTGAGGACTTGAGATGGCTGTGAGAGAGGGTGAGAAGCTTCTGGCTTAAAGGATATAAAATAATGGCGGATAACCTGAAGAGGAAGAAGGGGAAAGACGGAAACTGGGAGGGAAGTCCCAGAGAAGTACCACTGATTCATTTGTTCTTTTGCTGGAAATTCTCAAAAATTATATGGGCTTCTAACATGGAGGGAATTTATGTATCTGCTGATGAGGACCTGTTCTCTCAAACTAGTGACCTCATTTGTCCAAGAGCAATTTTAGGATGGGTGTGAAAGTTGTCTGAATGACGATTCTATCTCATTCCCTTTGCCCAGGAAAGCCCAGCAGAACCGGAGAGGCTTTTCAGAGGAGCAGCTTCGCCAGGGACAGAACGTAATAGGCCTCCAGATGGGCAGCAACAAAGGAGCGTCCCAGGCGGGCATGACAGGGTACGGGACCCCCAGGCAGATCATGTAAGACGCCGGTCCCTGCTTCCTGTAGAGAGGATGAATATTCCACACCACCACCACGGTCTCTGGAAAAAAATTAGTTAGTCACCTTCTGACCTTCTCTCGTTCTCAAAGCCTCCTGTTCTTGGTTTTCGCAAGTGCTGCATTTTTGCTGAGAATCCACGTTGCCTACTGCTGCCACCTTCTGTTCATTTAGAACTATGCAAAGACTCCGCTTCCTCTTCCTGAGCTCCATTTTTGCCCTAAGGCCCTTTATTTATTTATTTACTTATTTATTTGCCAATGATTTTACTCCTCAACTTATAGAATACACCTAATAAACAAATTAGTCTTGTGTCTTAAAGTGTAAAGTTTATTCTTGGTCTTAAGGGCTTTACAAACAGGGATTTCCCCCCCCCCCTTCTGTTACTCTAGAGTTCAGCCAAAACCCCCCACTGCTGTAGAGTTAGTTGATTGCAGCTCATAGTGACTCCGCAGAGCAAAACAAAACTTCTTCGCTGGGTTTCAGATATTGTAAATCTCAATTGGGGTGACAGTTTTATCTTTCTCCAGGGGAGCAGCTGATGGATTCCAATTTCTAACCTATCAGCTGCTCAATGCTTACGTCACTGTGTCACCATTGTATACCATCAGAACTGACTTGTAGATGACCCTTCAGAGGGTTTTCAAGGGCAGTTAAGCCCACAAGGGAAAGCCCAGCTTTTTTCCTGTGGAGCCGCTGGTGGATTTGAACCATTTGCCTCGATGTTGATAGCACAATCCCTTACCACTAGGCTACTAGAATTCCCCGTGCCACCAGGGAAAGATGGAAATAAACTGTAGCTGTAAAATATAAATTAGTTACAAGGATGCTTTTACATGTCTGTAATATTCATATAATGTTCATCTTGGCACGTGGTGGCCTAGCGGGTAATTGTGAAGCCAACGCAAAGGCAGATGGTTGCAATCTACCAGCTGCTTCATGGAAGAAAGATTGACAGTCTCCTTCAGGACAATTTATAGCCCCTGAAAGCACACTGTAAAGTCAGTTATGAGTTCTGACTTGACTGCAGTGAATTTTGAGGTGAGTAAGAGTTTAAGATCAAGAGTTCAAGAACAAAGTCTTTGATCTATGAATTATTTGAGTACATTTTCCTGCTAGGTATGTGGACTGTAGCTCATGGAGTCGACAGTATAACAGAAGGAAACATTGTACAGTTCTGTGCCATTTTCATCATTGTTGATATGCTCAACTACTTTTTTCAGCTTCTGAGTATTCTAAGTGCTATCCAGTCCAGGGAATTAATTTTCCAGCACTATGACATTGAGATTGTTCACAGCTTTAGTTTGCTTGGCTCCACAGTCAACACTCTTGGCACCAGCAGCCAGGAAATGAAAAGGCTCATTGCCATGGGAAAGTCTGCTGTTAAGGACCTCTCCAAAGTACTGAAGAGCAATGGTGTCTCTCTGGAGACTAAGGTGCATCTGATACAGGCTATGGTCTTCGCAATCACTTGTTATGCATCAGAGAATTGGACAATGACCAAGGAGGATAGAAGGAGAATTGATGCCTTTGAGCTGTGGTGCTGATGAAGAGTATTGAATGAAGAGTATTGAGGGTACCATGGACTTCTAGGAAAACAAACAGATTCATCCTGGAAGGGGTTAAACCAGGTGGCTCCCTGGAGGCAAGGATTCTGAGGCTCCATCTAACATACTTTGGACATGTTGTAAGGAGGGACTGGTCCTTGGACAGGGACATCATGCTTGGGAGAACGGAGGGACAACTCAGGAGGGGAAGACACTATGAGGTGGATTGATTCAGGAACTGGGGTAATCAGGATAAAAGTGTCAGAGACAGTGTGATTGGCACAGGACAGAGCAGAGTTTAGGGCTGTTGTACATAGGATTGCTGTGAGTTGCAAGCGACTCAATGGCACATAACAACAACAACCACATGTAGTTGTTGATAGTTGTCAAGTTGAGCACAGCTCATAGCAACTCCATCAACAAAAGGCCTGGAGTCCTTCCACAACCATCACCATTTATCAAAATTCACAGAGTTTCCAGAGGCATACTCTTTAAGGAAGTGGATGCTACTCTTGCTTCCAATTCAAGCACTATAGGGGGTGATATTCTATTGTTATTCACAGGATTTTATTCATTTATCAATTTGTCAGTAAATAATTTGCCTTTCTTCCTAGTCTGTTTTAGTCTGGAAGTTCAACCAGGCATGATTCTGAAATATAGGTGGGTAACTTCCATCATCATAGTAACACTGTAAGTCACCACACCTGACAGACGAGAAGTGGATTTACAAGAGAGAACACAGGAATGAATAAGGCAGAGTCTCTGTTCTTAAGGATCTCTTACATAAATGCCCAAGAAGAACAATTAAACTATACAAGCTATGGAAAGCCCAGTATTATTGTCCCTTTTTCCACTTTGCATTTGCAGTCAAAGCAGCAAATAACCTTTGGTTAATGTGAGCTTCCAGGAATCTATTAAAAAAACCTGTGAGCAGGGAGGTGCAAGGAACACAGGCACCAGAAGACTAATTAGAGAGAGAATTCATGACCACCGAAGAATCATTAAAATGAGCCCAGGGAAAATATAAAAAGCAGTAAGAGAAAATATTGACAAAGCAGGGATGCAGGGATAACCTGTTATGAAAAAGGTTAGAGTTTAATTTTTTTTAAATGAATGATTGATGACTAAATGAACACAAATAATAAATTAGTAAATTGGAATATCAAGAACAGAAACTTTGCCCCCCAAAAGTCATAAATGGGTGAAAAATAAAAAAGAAACACTGAATTTTTTTATCAACATATAACTGAATTATATAGATCAACAATAGAGTGCTGGTGGCCTAATGGCAAGAAGCTGTGCTGCAATTCTGATGGCTCACGGTTTGAAAGAACCAGCTGCTCTGAGGGAGATGATAGGCCATCTACAATGTGATTACCTGCCTCTGAAAACTCGCCAGAGGGTCAGCTTTGGGTCGGTTCCGACCTGATGGTATACAACAACTACAATAATAACAACAACAACAACGGCACAGAAAAACCAACACACAGGGGAGGAGATATGTGAAGAAAAAATTGTGAGAATTTCCAGTTAAGGTCTACGTAGTGTTTCTCACTTTTCACAGCGGGAAGCTGGGTCTCCCAGGGAAACAGGAAAGGAATGTAAAACAATTGCACCAACTATCCGGGTGATAAGGAACTTTGTTACAGTATTTCTGACAGGAGCCAAAAAGAGTTACACCAGGAAGTAGCCCCCCATTCACCCCAGGAATGCAGTGGAACCAAACCACAAGCAATCCCTCCAGTCCCTAGACAGAGCTAGGCTCTGACCAGTCCCGGAGAATGGGAGCCAATAAAGGCTGTACCCATTCAGAAGGCCGCTCTCTTTGTCTACTGAAAGCATGCCAAAAGGCTTGTCTCCACCCCTGGCTTTCTAGGGTTCTCTCTCCCATTCTTTCTTTTTCATTTTAACTCATGCACAACCTGTTTCTACTTTCCTCCAACTATGCCTGTCTTATTGCCCTAATAAGCTTTTTTCACTTGCTTTGCTGAATTGCCACTGAGCATGTGTGTCTGTTCACTTATCTACCTACAGTCACCTCAAGTCACCCCTTCACTGGAAATACTAGCTAGTGGTGAAGAGTTAAAGACAACTCTGGTTTTAGCATGTTCCTTTCCATAAGTTTGAAAAAAAAAAAAAAGAACAGACTCAGATATAAAATTTTATACAAGAACCAAAAAATATAAGCATACTGAGAAACATTATAATAAAATGTATAAATACTGAACACAAATAGAAAACTTAGAAAGTCTAAATGACATCTCATCAGGGACAGTAAATAAAATACTATTTTCAAGGTGCTGAAAGAAGAACATTGAATATAGAATTTTCTATCTAGTCAGTTGTTTATCTAGTTCTATCTAGTCAGTTGGGTTTTATAAGGGCAGGAGTCCAATAGAATTATTAATAGATATGTATAGCCTCATACAGTTCACCACACAAGGATCTCCTTAAAAAACACAGTTGGCTAAAGTCCTTTAACAAGAAAAATATTGCCGTATAAATTCTGTGAGATGTGTGAACTAAGGGTAAGTAACTAAGTTAGAAAATTTTACTTTAAGGAAATAGAAACTTTTAAAAATAGAGAAAAGTAAGTAAAATTCTAGACAATTCCCAGTATAGTGGGTGTGAGGAAGCTCAGAGTTAAGTAGATGGAAGTGGTTCAAGGAAATGTAAAGGATTTCAATACTGATACTATACTAATCTATACTGATAAATTAAAGACATTAAGAGAAAAAGATAAATGTGTGATGTCCAACTTAAGAGTATAACTTAGAATTATTTCCCAAACTAAATACAAATAAGAAAATGAGAGACCCATTTCACTCGAGAGTGAAAATGTAAAAATTCAAAATAAAACAATATACAACTAATTCCAATACATTTTTAAATATATGTGGAATGAATATTATTCTTTGAATGGATTAATTTTTTTTTTAAATTGGAAAGATTCTTTGGGAAACCACCGTTACAAGCTGGATATAGGAGAGACCATGGTACTAGGAACATTACAATCAATGTTAGATGGATCTTAGCTGAAAGCAGAAAATACCAGAGGTATGTCTATCTGTGTTTCATTGACTATGCAAAGGCATCTGACAGTGTGAATTACAAATTGTGGAGAAGAATATGAATCCCGGAACACTTAATTGTGCTCATATAAAACCTGTACTTAGACCAGGAAAGTAGTCATCAGAACCGAGCAAGAAAACACTTCATGATTCAAAATCAGGAAAGGAGTGTGTCAGTGTTGCATCTTATCTCCATACTTTTTCAATCAATATGCCTAACAGATCATTCAAGAGGCTGAAGTTTGTGAGGAGGAATATGGCATCAGGATTAGGGGAAGACTCATCAACACCTGTGTTATGCAGATGACACATTCTCACTTGCTGAAACTGAGGAGGACCTGAAGCATTTGCTGCAGAAAGTAGTCTGCAATATGGTTTGCAGTTCAATATCAAGAAAACAAATATTCTCATGACTGGGCCAGTTGGTAGCCATGATAGATGGAGAAGAGTTTGAGATAGTTCATAATTTCAACTTGCTTGGTTCCTCAATCGACACTCTTGGCACCAGCAAATCAAGAGATAAATGGCACTGACAATATCTGCTGTTAGGGACCACTCCAGCGTGCTAAAGAGCAACATTGTCAGTATAGAGACTAAGATGTGCCTGATCATACTTGCTATGCATCAGAGAGCTGGATAATTATTAACGATGACAGAAGAAAAATCTATGCCTTTTAGTTGTGGTGCTAGAGAAGATATTGAA